AGGGCTAAGTTGTTCATCCATCCCTGAAAAAATATACTTTCATATTGAACAGAGGATAATAAAATGTTAGTATTTTTACTAGTTGTTTAGGTATATAACTGAAAACTTGTTAATTAAATACAAAAGACAAACTAATGTTTTACTAAGTAGTATCTTCCATAAATGGGAGTTTCTAAGAATTTCTGCATCAGGAAACATCTGTGTTAGTATTTGGTTTCCATATGAACCATCATCACACAGACATTGGTCTCCATGACATAAACAAGTAGGATAGATTTGGCTTTTGGCCTAGAATGTACTACTCCATAAGCCTTATAAAGTGTATCAAAAAGATCTGTCTACAACAGAGCTATCACACTGTCTACCTAAAAAAGAAACTCAACAGAGTGCACAAAATGACATGGTATTAGATGAAAGAGTTGAGTCGATTCCCTACAACTGATCTCTTCTGAAGGTGTGCTGTGGGGTTATTAGGTCAGTAAAGAACTCTCCCTCTTATCCTCTGAATAAAAGCGCATCTGATAATAGGGAGAGTGAAGTGGCTATAAATTCCAGTCTCACTCACAGTACTAATAGAGCTCCTCTGCCCTGTACAGTGCCAGCCTGCAGTTGCCCTATTGCTGTATGAGTGGTGTCTTGAAGCAGCTTATGAGACCATAAGGGAAAATGTTCTCTAACATTTCTTCAGGGCTAGTATAACCCAGGAGCTAAAAAAAAAATCCAAAAAATGTTGTGAAAGTAAGTATGTATGTGGGCATATTAGAGATAACATTTTTAAAAAGTAGAATTAAGATGTAATTATAATTTGCACCACAGAAGATTTGAACTAAAAGATGTGTGCCACAATACATATAACACCTAAGTAGGAAAAAAGCCTAATATGTATCTTATACAGGAAGGATGTGTAAGTTAGGCATCAAAAATATGTTAAACATTCAGATGGTGATTGCTGTTCTGTGACCAGGCTATGGACTTGCTGATAAGGAAATTTTTATATGGGGAAAAATATTCTGGATCTGTAGCTCTAAGAGTAGCGGTATTTAGTATGTACAATTGCTATATCTTCACTTGATCCCCATTTTCTCTGCGTTCTGAGCCTGACAAATTATGCAGTCAGTCTTGTCTGGGCTACTCAGCTCTGGCCCATTCACTAGTAGAGAGTTGTGGGGTGTACTCTGTCTCTCAGGAAGTTTGCTTTATTTCTTTAAATTTGTTTATCTTTTTTTTAAAAAAGTACAATCATACCAATAAAATTATAAAATAGGTTACCAGAAAAATTAAATCACCCTGAAAACTCTCAAAAGCAGAAACATTTTAATTAGCATCTCTTTATACATCATAAGCTGTTTGGTGTCTAGTCAGAAGAATAAAAAGCAGGCCCTGGCTGAATAGTTCAGTTGGTTAGAACATCGCCCTCATACTCCAAGGTTATAGGTTTGATCCCTGCTCAGAGCACACACAGGAATCAACCAATGAATGCATAAATAAGTGGAACAACAAATCAGCATATCTCTCTGTCTCTCTAAAAACCAATAATAAATTTTTTAAAATGATTCATTATTAGTATGGTATAAATTGTCAAACATGTGATTAAAAAAGCTGTGCATGTGAAAGTAGACTATTACTTGAGAGATGGTGTTAGCTACTGTATTAATTTCCTATTGCTATATATAACAAATCACCACAAATTTAGCAATTTAAAACAACACAAATAACATATTTTTTGGACTATAAGACACACCGGACCATAAGACACACATAGGTTTTAGAGGAGGAAAACAAGAAAAAAATTTTTGAAGCAAAAAATGTGGTAAAATATTTAATAACATAAATAATACAGGCCGCTGCCCCCTCCACAGCAAGCCAGGTAAGCTACAATAGGACTATAAGAAGCACCCCTCCCTTTCTTCCCAAATTGGGGAATGTGTCTTACGGTCCGAAAATTATAGTAAATTATCTCACAGTTCCTGCAGGTCAGAGATCTGGGCATAGTGAGACTGGGTTCTCTGCTCAGGGTCTCACCGGGCTGAAATTCAGCTGTCAGCCTGGGCTGTGTTTCTCACCTAGGTCCTATCCAAGCACACATGGTTGTTGGCAGAATTCATTTCGTTGCCGTTATTGTAGGATTGAAGTGCCTGATGTTTTGTTTGCTGTCAAGCAGGGGCTGTTCTAGGCTCCTAGAGGCTGTCCACATTCCTTACTACACACCTCCTTCCATCTTGAAACCAGCAAGGGCATGTTGAGTCTTTCCTTGTGCTGTGAATCACTGACTTCCTCTTCTGCTACCAGCCAGGAAAACTTTCTTGCTTTTAAAGGGCTCATGTGCTTAGGTCAGGTCTACCCAGATAATCTCCCTACTGTAAAGCATAACCTGATCACAGCATTAAAATACATCAAGCTCACAGTACTGGGGATGAGCCATAGCATGTACACCAGGGAGTGGGAAATTTCAGGGGCCATTTAGAATTCCACCTACCAGCACAGGAGATTCCTCCGTCTCTGTTCAATCCTATTATGACTTTCATACTTAAGTCTTTTTCAATTCATATTTAACTCTACCATATTTATTTTATAAGCTCACATTTCAGTATCATAAAAAATAGCCATGAATAATTTGCTTATCATTGGGGGAAACATAAGGATTTTTTCATTCACGAAGGAAAAGTTTTAGAGAACAAGAATCTTAAATTTTAATAAGCCTAGTTAGCATGTATCAATATATTTGTTTCATTAAATCTAATACAATCTAATGAAATAATTAATATCTTAGATGCTTATATATAAAGATTAGGACCAGATTATCTAGAAATAAGCAAACATAAGATTTGGAAAAAAATAACACAATGCAAACAATATCATAAATATGGCACTATTATATCCTCCATATATGTACTCAGAAAAATAAATAAGAACACAAGACTCTATAGATAAATGAGAACACAACATTCCTAGACTTTTTAAAAGGAAATAGAAATGACTAAGTTGGACCTCCCTAAGTTAACATTTATTGAGTGCATATAACTTTTGTGAGGGGCTCGCACATATGACAAGTGCAGGGCTGCTGTTTGGGTACAGGCACTTCCAGGTTTGTGGCCAGATCCATTCTTATTGTTTGGTAATTGTGTTCTTGCAACTGTGCAGCTGCTTGTCACTGTGACATAAGACCTGCAGATTTGTGTTAGCGATTGTTCATTGTTATCAGGTCTCTCATATCCTTAGGCAGATGTTTTAAAACTCTTGTTTACCTATCAACTTTTTTAGATATGATTATTAGAATATCTGGTCCAAATTATTGGGTCTCTATCACAATAAATGAAAGTTTTAGTTTTTTACTTCCATAATTTGTCATTTGTTACTGGCCTCCACAAGTAGAAAAATGATTAATATATAAGACTAAATGTGTTTAAACTTAATCCAACCTATTTAAAGATTTACTTTTTCAGCCTGAAAAAACAAATTAGAAAGTACCAAGTTTTGCACCACCTGGCTTATTTCGTTTAGCATAATGCTTTCCAGTTGCATCTATGCTGTTGCAAAGGGTAGGAGCTCCTTCTTTCTTTCTGCTGCATAGAATTCCATTGTGTAAATGTACCATAGTTTTTTGATCTATTCATTTACTGATGGGCATCTAGGTTGCTTCCAACACTTGGCTATTGTAAATTGTGGGAAAGTTTTTTCCCATTAAATTATATTGATCATTTCTATTTCTGGAGCTGTTCATAATGAAAAGAAAATCCTGATATTATTATATAATGGATATATATGCCTAAAACATGAGCCTAGAAATTAGCATGAAATTATAATACATTTTTTAAAAGATTTATTTGTTTATTTTTAGAGAGGGGAAGTGAGGGAACCATCAAAGGATGTGGTCCACAGCCCAGGCATATGCCTTAGACTGGGAATCGAACCAGAGACCCTTTGGTTCACAGGTCAGCACTTGGTCCACTGAGCCACACCAGCCACAGTAAAACTATAAAACTTTTTACATCATTTGATATTTTGCTAATATCTCTATATTAGAAAGTATCTCAAGCGTTGAGTATTCCTACAAATTACATATCACTCAAGACTTCACTGCCAAGTATAATATACTTATTAAACCAGTGTAATGGAGTTATAGTTGTGATACTGATATAAATTTGAAATATTTGAGAACATTAAGTTGTATTTAATTTTAAAAGGAAAGTCTGAAATAGATACTGCATTCCTATCTTTACAATACACTGACTTGGGAATAGACCATTATATGTATATAGTTGGGCTTCTGTTCATAAAACATCAGGCTTATTTTTAAGATTTGTAACTACTGGACATGATTTTGAAATATCTAATAAAGTAAAATATAAGACTACTCTCTCTGAGAATAAAAACAGTACAACCTATCAACCACCTTTGGTAGAGACAACTAGTTGCACTTACCTTCATTCTGTACTCCTCTTTTATCCAAGCTTTCCTAAGCATATGACCATCTGGAATAAAAGCTGTATTTTTCATCCTGCCTTGCAATTAGGTGGAGACATTGTGACTAAATTTTGGCCAATGCAATTGAAATGAATATACAACTCACTGCGTCCCTTCTTGCTAGCCAGAATGTTGCTGTGAGGGTTGGAGCCTAAACAACAATCTTTAAAAAAAATTTTTTAAAGATTTTATTTTTAGAGAGGGAAAGGGAGAGAGGGAGAGAAACATCAATGTATGGTTGCCTCTCACACACTCCCTACTAGGGACCTGGCCTGCAACCCAGGCATGTGCCCTGAGTGAGAATTGAACTGGCAACCCTTTAGTTCGCAGGCCAGCACTCAATCCACTGAGCCACACCTTGTATCATGAGCTGGTAGCCAAGTGCTGAAATTGGTAGAGCAACATAGCAGCCTTGAGAGATACCTATGGAATTCTTTTAAGGGAGAGGAAAAAAGTCTTTTTTTTTTAAAGCCACTGGTATTTGGGGGTCTTAGTTTTATGCTACTGTACCTTATCTTAATTGATACACATTTCCATTGTTGGCATATTATTCCTTTATTAGGAATTGTAAATGAGAAATTATTTCAACACCTGAAGACCAAGCTACAACACAACATTCCATGGGCTCCAGATTTTGAGACATTCTGGAAAGCGTTTTCTGTAAAGCATATCCTTTCCGTGGCATGGCAACATCGTTCTTCTTTAAAAAGGTTACTGGGCAAAGATCATTTCCACCATCACCTACATAAACAATTTGTGTATAATTTACTCCCTGTTGTAATTGTTTATCTATAAATTCTACCAAAACTACATTTTTGCAAAGATTTTTGGGACACCTATTGCAAGAATGAGCATGATAATTTTTCACAGTGAGATGACCACTGCCATCAAAAGCTGCTGGATTTGTAAACACTTTATCAAACACATCATGAAAACTGGCAGCTTCTAAAATCCAATCTATGAAGACTGAATTTGAATCTGAAATAATGATGCAATCAAATTTATCCTTGTTCTTACTTATAAAGTTTAAAAGCTCCACCATCCCTGGAGTAAAAGGCATTGATGTCACTGTTCTTTTCATCTCATCTTCTCTTACACCTTCATCTCCCAAATACTGAAAGACTCTGCCCATAAACTCTGTCCAAAATCCTTTTTCATAAGAATCTTGTAGTTCAATAGGAAGCTTTTTCTCTGGAGCACACCGTACAATCCAGGTGTCGCTATTGTCATCTATGATTGTATTGTCAAAGTCAAAAGCGAGCAAAATTTTCATGGTTGTAAAACAGATTTGGGTTATCCTGAAAAAGAAGAAATATTCCCTAAACACTTTTTTGTAAACATATCTAGTTAATACTTAACAAACATTACTAAGTGTTAATCTGCTAAACAAATTATAACAAATTAAATAAATTAATATAAACAAATTAAAATAATTGATCATTTTAGGACAACCATTTAAGCATTTGTCCTAAGAATCAAAGCTCGTATTTGAGTATTTTATGTGAATCAAAAGCAGAGTATCTAGAAAGGATATCTGCAGTGTCATCACGTCCATGCGGGGACTCCTCCTTAAGCACCTCGAATTACCCACTGAGAGAGGGAATGACACAGTTATTCTCTTACAGTCTGAGAAAAGTTTTCGAGTAATACAGAAAAAAGTGTAGGCTAATCACTCTTAGTGTTCTTATCAATCACAGCCACATTTGTGTTTTTATTTTTATTTTTAAAGATTTTATTTATTTATTTTTAGAGTGGGGAGAAGAGAGGGAAAAAGAGGAGAGAAACATCAATTGGTTGCTTCTTTTAGGCACCCCAACTGGGGACCAAATCCACAACCCAGGCATGTAACCTGACTGGGAACCTAACCAGTGACCTTTCTGCTTTTCAGGATGACACCCAACCAACCGAGCCACACCAGTCAGGACACAGCCAGACTTATTAGTTTGAAATATTTACAATAATCTTCATATTAAATAGGTCTCTGTGTATTAACCAAAATTCAGATAAAATTTAACATATCATGAAATCTTGCAAACTTTAAATTTTTAAGAAGGTGTTTAGCTTGAAATCAATTTCTAACATCAATGCCAATGTTATAACTAAATGGTTGCATGATGCTGTACTTGAAATTCTAAACTAATTATTTGAAGTGGAGGTCAGTTCAGTTCTCCTAGACTAGTAGTAACTTTTGACAATAATTTTACATTTCTTTATATTTTCTCCAAATAGTTTAGCTCTGGACTGACAAATAGTCTGGATATACTTGAATAATCACATTACTTATGAAATAACAATTACTTAAGTCTTTTTACATTAAAAGATATGTATGTCATTAATTATAAATCTCAAAAGAAAAGAATAAATTGATCAACATGGTACAGATAAAAATTATGTAAAAATGATAAATAATTATAGATTACCCAAATAAAAGCTGTAATTAATATGTGTAGACAATTAATTTTTTTTCTTTTTATAAAAGATTTTATTTATTTATTTTTCATGGGAAGGGAGGGAGAAAGAGAGAAACATCAATGTGTGGTTGTCTCTCCCATGTCCCGCACTGGGAACCTGGCCTGCCACCCAGGCATGTGCCCTGACTGGGAATTGAACGAGTGACCCTTTAGTTCGCAGGTTGGCACTCAATCCACTGAGCCACACCAGGCACGGCTCAAGAGTAATATTTTTAGAGAGATCATTATACACAAGACACTGAACTAAGAACTTCATAATTATCTCATTTAGTTGTCATAATCCTATTAAATAGGAATTATTATTATCCTCATCTTAAAGATATATAAACTGGTGCTTAAATATTAGTTAGGTTGGTTAATATTAGTTAAGTGGCAGAGCTAGAATTTGGAGTCAGGTCAGTTTGACTTCAAAGTTCATGCTTTTAAGCACCACACTCTAGTATCTAAAAAATAGAATATTTAAAGACTATTCATCAGTTAAAAATACTAAGGTCATTTTTTCAAAAAGATGTTTAATTACAAGAAAACATTCATTAGTCTCAAAGTAAATTACTAACTATAACACTAAATCTGTAATCTATTTCATAACCATTTTGAGGTTTTAGCAAGAAATTCAAACAAGTGAAGAACCCCACAACCAAGAAAAAAGAAGAGACCAGCCCTGGCTGGTGTGGCTCAGGGCCTGAGTGCTGGCTGACCTGTGAACCAAAGGGTCGCTGGTTCAATTCCCAGTCAGGGCACATGCCTGGACTGTGGGCCAGGTTCCCAATAGAGGGTGCAGGAGAGGCAACCACACATTGATATTTGTCTCCCTGTCTTTCTCTCTCCCTTCCCCTCTATCTAAAATAAATACATAAATAAATAAATAAAGATAAAACTAACTAAATAAATAAAAATAAAATCTTTAAAAAAAAAGAAAGAAAAAGAAGAGACCAATTAAAAGTGGAAAACATGTTATTAACCAATGTTACCCCAATAAATTGAATTACATTTTAAAAATAAAATGCAAAACAGGGTGCTTAAGCACATGCATTCTCTAGTTTATAACAATTGACAGCCAGAAGGTGAAGCTAAGAACCGAGTTCATTACTCATGTAAGTATTCCATCTCTAAATTTAGAATATATGGAGAATAATTAATCTTAAGCGTAGCTCCTGTTGTGTGAATTTAGACATATACAAGGTGGAGTGAAAGTAGGTTTCCAGTTGTTCATATCAAAAATACAATAATTAGTAAATAATAATACAAGCTTAACCTCTGTATAAACCTAATTTCACACTATCCTGTAACATCCTGATACTCTGTATCTTCATTAAGTATCTCTGTATCTCTAAATGCCTAATCTAGGTGTCTCTGACTGACTCTCAGAGATTCAAGTACAGAATTCACTTTCCCATAGAAATAATGTGATAAATAGCAATAAGGCATAGTTGACAATCACATTAGGACTGTACCTGAGCATATTTTATTTTATTTTTTATTATTGTTCAATTACAGTTTTCCCCTTTTTTCCCCATCACTCTCCCCCTGCCCTATCCACCCTTCACTTCCCAGGTTCAATCCTCCCTTCCCTTCTACCCATTGTCTTTGTCCATGGGTCCTTTATATGTGTTCCCTGATGACCCTTCCCCTTCTTTCCCCCCTTATCTCCCTTCCCACTATGTACCTGAGCATATTTTAAATTAAACACACCTTTTTAAGCATTTAATTTAAATATTTTAATTTAAATTTAAAAATCTGAATTTAATTTTTTTTTCAAATATAACTCATTGTTGGTAAAAAACTGCTTCAAGTCTAGATTTACTTAGCTATGACTTACTAAATTCCTGAACTATTAACCTAAAAATAAAGATGTGTCATAAGCTTGAAGTTAATCTAGTTCTACTGTTGACTACTAATTTCTATCTAAAAGTGGACTTTTCTTTATTTCATATATTTTTATATTAGTTTTTCTCACCACTCAACATAAATCTTTATTAAAAATACTTACCCCCCTAGCTTGTGTGGCTCAGTGGATTGAGCACAAGCCTGGGAACAAAAGGGCTACTGGTTCAATTCCCAGTCAGGGCGCATGCCTGGGCTGCAGGCCAGGGTAGGCCCCCAGTAGGGGCAGAGCAAGAGACAAGCACACAGTGATGATTCTCTCCCTCTCCTCCTTCCCTTCCACTCTCTCTAAAAGTAAATAAATAAAATATTAATTAAAAAATACTTACCCAACTTAGTATTTCCAAGATAATTAAACTTACTTCAGCATACAGCTTTGGTTAAATAGTCAATGACAATCTTCAGTTTTCAATAACAACCAGTTTCTCACCAGTACTATTCCTATTCTATATGTGGGGAACAAAGCCTTCTGGTTTGGAACAAAGGAACAGAGACTTCTTAACTCCTAAAATGAGTAAAAGTTCATTTAAGATATTTTAAAATTCATGTTTATAATGATGCTATTTTCTCTTACATGAGAAAAGCACCTATTGGCAATAAGAAAAACTAAATTTTGGTGAAACAAAAACCTTAAATACAAAACAGGGAGTGTTATGTAAACATAACTTTGTATCAGTGGATAAAATCACAAGCGTTAGACTGATTATGTTGAGAATTACAGATTCTACTTTTTCTTCTTGTTAAATAATAGACAAATATCACATTCTGCCATCAATAAACATTAAAAGATTTGGCGTACTTGAAGTAAAAGTTTCAAATAATAAGGATGTGCACAAAGATTCAGTTTTAAGAATGTGAAGCTATTCTGAAACCAAGTTATTAAGATACCCAAAGTAGTTATTAACTATCATCTCCAAAAGCAGTAGCATTCTATATTTGGTATATCTGCAATGATTCCATTATCTAACAATAACCTATATGCTTTTAACAATCATGGAAATGAGAAACTACATGGACAGCCAAGAATCAGGGACTGGTTAAATAAGATATGCAGCCTTGAAGTACTTATTCATTATAATAAAGATTTGGGTTCCTTAGCTTAACTCTATGTGCAGGTGACTTCTGGCCCTGTGCGGGCTGGGATGAAATTGTTGATATTCTGACTATTGCTACTGCTGTAATTCATCTCTGACCTAGGGGTCTGCATCTTCTACAAAACTGTAGCAGGCAAAGTTGTTAGCTTGCAAGTAGGGTGAAATCTCTTTCCCAGTTATTGACATTTTAAAAACATATACTTTGTAAAGTGTATGACTGTCTAACCACTATGTTGTACACCTGAAACGAATACAAAATAATATTAAACATATATTGTAATTGAAAAATAAAATTTAAGTTAAAATAAAAACTGTGCTTCCTCTCTTCCCCCAAAACCCCTCACCAATACTGTATGTGCAAAAACTAATTTTTGTTAAAAAATTTTTTATTAATCCTTTCATACTTACCAGCATTATTATGGTAGAACATCTGATAGAAAACCTGAAGAAAAACAGTACAACTATGAGTTAAAACTTTAGTGATTGAAAATCTTACCTCCTTTCATTCTAAGTGACTCCAATTTAGCACCTACTAAGTAGTGTTGTAGCCAACTAACTTGTAATAAAGTCATTTGTATCTCCGTGTGTTAGAAAAATGTCTTTAGAAACCAACCCCGCATCTAATCTTAACAGATTTTTGGTGTTTTTTAGAGGTCTGATTGGTCCTCCAAATACATTTACTTTACCGTATTTACCAAGCAATTTAAAATATCTAAAAGGTCCTAATACTAATGTTCTGAGATAACATTCAAGTTTTAACATTACTATGTTTAAAAAATTAAGCCCTATCTAGCCCGAATCATGCCTGAGAAACTAATTTAAAAATCGATTTGCTGTGAACTAATCCCTGGGTTTCTATAGTTAAGGGAGAGCTTTGCCTTTCACCTTCCACCCGCAAGGAAGTCTGTGGGCCGCACGCACCAAGCCTAGGCCCCGCTCTTGCACACACCTGCCGAGTCCCCCGGGAAGGTAGGCACAGGAACCTAGTTGGGGTCATCCGGGGTAGGACATGAGATGAATGAGGATGGAGGCACCAGGCTGGGCCGGGTCCCCAGACCTCTCCACCGCCGGAGGCCAGTAGTCAGCAGTGGTCCTAGCCTCCGCCCTGCTCCCGCGGAGTGTCCCTTCGCCAGTGCCCGGGGACTTCCCATTTGCACACTAACCTCGTTCTCCCGCGCAGGCGCAGCCTATGGACAGCAACATCACTGCAAACAGCTTAGGGTTCTCCGTTCCACAGCTACAGCAGCCGTCACTTCCGGTGGCGTTGCCAAGCAACTGCGCAGTTGTGTCAAACACGCCACTGGCTGGAGGCTGCAGCGCTCTGCATCCGAGTAGCCTATCCAAATCTTAGAGCTCCAAGGGCACTCCGTCAAAGATGCTGGTGCGGTTCGGAAGGCGCAGTGGACAGACCAAGGAAAGCACGGGTGAGCTAAACTTGCCCATACCCACGTGAAGATTGTTTTTGACCCCTGGGCATGGGGTGAGTGGCGAGAGTACCACGTGAGAGTGCCTAGTTCAGGTGAAGTGGAGTCCACCGAGTCGAAAGCAACTTGGGGTCTGTATAAATTAGACAGTTTTTCCCTCCAGTAAATTGGTAGGTGAAAAATGTTTATATAAATAGAGATGGAGAAAAAATATATAAGAAGTAGGCTGACCCAATTGACCTGCACGGTTGCAGTTCCAAGAGTCTGGTGTTTGCTGAATTTTCTTGTGCTTAAACTTTGTTATTCATTGAGTGAATTGGAACATCTTTTGGAAAAACCGGTATCCTCCTTAGAGTCTTGGCTGAACCTAGTGAGAGCTTTTTATGAAAGTCTCTGAAGGAAGTGTCTCAGTTTTCTCATATCTGAAGTGAAGGTAAGGTCTCACCCTAAGACAAATGCTTTGATAAAATGTAAAAAATAATGCTACTTAACGTACTGTATTCAGGTGACCTATTATAAAATTTAGATTTTGGAATAGAGATAGCATAATGGAACATCTAAAGAGCTCTTTATCAATTCCAACTATTTTAGTTTCTTAGTCTGTAAATTCCCAATTAATATAGTCATGGTGACAATTAGAACCTTGGGAATTTGGAATATCTTCATGTCAGTGCCTGAGTTTCTGTCACAGAGGAGCCCCTTGTGATATGTGCAGAGAGACATCCATTCTCCACTAGTGGATTCTTATGCAGTGGAGGGTTTATGAAGAAGCAACAGAGGGTCATGATATGTAGGAGAGTGACAGTACCCATGTGGCATGTACTGGAGAGACACAATTACTCCAGTATATTCACTTCCCTATATGAGGCCTGTCTGGAAAAAGTCCAGCCATTGTTAATATAAGGAGAACAGTTTGTGTGATATCGATGTAACCTAGCAGTCAAGAAGAATAGATTGGAATGCACATGTGTGAAATATGATGCCTTCACTGTACTAGTGTACTACCAGAGTGGGGGTGGTAGGCACCATTGAGTGAACATGTGTACTGTATGGTCGTCACATTTAAAATGACTGAATCTGCATCAAATTTTGCATTAAGCTTGAACATTCCTCTGAGGAAACTATTCAGATGATTCAGAAGACCACAACTATGGGCAACTGGTGATTGGCAGCTTCATCACAACAACTCGCCCACTCATGCATCACATCTCATGCACTATTTTTTGGTGAAACATCAAATCACCCAGGTGACTCAGCCCCCCTACAGCCCAGATTTTGCACCCTGTGACTTCTGGCTTTTCCCAGAACTAAAATCATCTTGAAAGGAGAAAGATTTCAGACCATCAGTGAGATTCAGGAAAATACAACAGGGCAGCTGATGGCAATTGGGAGAACTGTGTGAGGTCCCAACGTGCCTACCTTGAAGGGAACTGAGGCGTCCTTGTCCTATGTACAATGTTTCCTGTATCTTGTTCAATAAATATCTCTATTTTTCATAGTACATGGCCGGATACTTTCTGGACAGAACTGGTATATGCAGTACTGAACTAAAAGACTTAGATTTACCTGATAGGTGTTTTGTAGTATTGGTCTAAAAGTTCCATCTGCACTCACTGCTCAATGTAATCTCCGTTTGGAAGAGGGTGAAGTAGGAGAGGAATTCAGATATGTAAACAGCTATCTCTGTAAAACAAATAATTCTATAAAGATTTAGTGGGGTGATATCAGCCAGAGTGCTGGAATAAGGATCTCTAAAAATCCTCTCCTCCATTAAGTTAAAAAAAAACCAATGGTAAAATAGTCAAAATCAACTTTTTGAAAAAAATATTGGTTTTACAGAGAGCGAGGAAGGGAGGCAGAAAAAGGGAGAAACATCAGTTTGTTGTTCCACTTATTTATGCATTCATTGGTTGATTCTTGTTATGTGCCTTGACTGGAAATCAAACACCCAACATTGGCATATCGGGCCGATGCTCTAATAACTAAACTACCCAGCCAAGGCCAGAATCAAGTTTTTGAGAGCTCAGGAAATTAACCAAAGGCTTGCAGCAGTTGGGGTGTTTGTCAAGAAAAATAGCTGAATCTTGACAACAGCAGTGAGGTTTTTTCCATTTTAATTTGCTCTAGTCCCATACTTTTCTCCCAGCTTTATGGTAATCTAGTTCCACTGCAATCACAGTGAAATCCAGTGGCTTACCAGCCTGTGGTAAGGGAAGAACAGGGTTGGATCCCCTTCAAAGCCCGTTTCCCAGGTAACTTATTACTTGACCTGTTGGGCCCTGGAAATGCCTGCTTACAAGGTTTGTGTTTATTTGACCTGACTCAGAACTTACCAGGTATGTTTGTTAAAACAGTCTGTCCTTTTTGCTCTGACTTCTGTAGCTCAGTTGGGCATCATCCTACAAACTGAAAGGTCACCAGTTCAATTCCTGGTCAGGGCACATGCCTCGGCTGCAGGTTCAGTCCCCAATCGGGGCATGTATAAAATAATCAACTGATATTTCTCTTTCACATCAATGTTTTTCTCCCTCTCTTTCTCCCTCCCTTCCCCTCTTTTTAAAAGTAAATAAATAAAATCTCTTAATAAACAATCAGTGCCAGTTTTTAAACATCACAGCTGGCTTCCTGAGGCAGTTAAAACATTTGGGTATAAACAACAAGATGACCAAGAAACTTAAAAAGAATACCTGGGATATGAGATGCCCACTGGGGACTCTGAAGAGATCCTTATATATTCCTGAGAATCCAGAGGTCAAATGCATGCATAGGGCTATGCACATGCCCAGAAAAATACCTAAGAATGCCTGAAGGTTTCACTTCTGGATGACTTTAAGTCTATATTCAGGAAAGAAGTAGGAGCTAACAGAGTTGTAAACTGCGTGTCTGAGCACTGAAGTCAAGCTCTGCCACTCACAGAGAGTTCCTTGACAGAGAGTACCTTATTTAAGAAATTTAAGGAGGCCTGGCTAGTGTGGCTGAGTTGGTTGGAGCATTGTCCTGTTAATGAAGATTTACGCGTTTGGTCCAGGTCAGGGCATGTACCTGGGTTACGGGTTTGATCTCTGGTCTGGCTGCATACAATCATAGGTCTGGGTGTGTACAGGAGGCAACCAATCAAAGTTTCTCTCTCTTATATCAATGTTTCTTTCTTTCCCTTCCTCTCTCTAAAAGCAATTTTAAAAAAGTCCTTGGATGGGGATTAAAAAGAAAAATAAATTTAAGGAAACTCTATCCAGTCATTACCTGACAACTGAGATAACCAAGCTGACATTCCAATAGCCATATACGACAAAGAATACAGACTTTACAGATTTAGTTCAAGAAATTTAAACAAAAAGTAATAGCAACAGCAAACTGGGTGTGGGAAGAATCTGACATCTAGAGTTACCACATATTATTTAAAATGTACAGTTTTCAACAAAAATGACAAGGTATGCAGGAAATAAGTATGGTCCAAACACAAGGAAAAATTTTTAATAGAAACTGTCCCTGAAGAAGCCCAGATGTTAAATTTAAATTTAAACAGTTAACTTTTTATAAATTTACAGCTATTATAAATATGTTCAACGGACTTAAAAAAAAGTCAAAGGAACTGTAGAAAAGTATTAAGAATGCTGTGAGACTTCTGGCCAAGATGAAGGTGTAGATAGACACATGGTGCCTCCTTGTGCAAGCAAAAGAAGGACAACAACAAATTTAAAAACAAAAAACAACGAGAACTGCTAGAAAATTAAACTGTAAGGAAGTATGACAACCAAGGAATTAAAGAAGAAACATTCATACACACCAGTAAAAAAAGTAGAGACCAGCAGCCAAGTGGAGAGGACTCTCGAGGCAAGCTGGACGACTGGGTGAGTTGGTAGCTGGTGGCCTGGGTGGTTCCACATTTGCATGCAGATAAACAAGGAGCAACAACTAGGGAGCAAGATGGACTGCACAACCCAGGGTCCCAGCATGGGGAAATAAAGCCTCAAATCCTTTGACTCAAAAAACCTATGGGGCTTTTTGTTCAATTTCTTGAACTATGGGGGTTGAGGTGGCAGCAGGACAAACCCCCAGCCTCACAGGAGAGCTTGTCGGAGTGACCCATGGGGTCCTAGAATGTACACAAACCCACCCACCTGGGAATCAACACCAGAAGGGCCCAATTTTCTTGTGGGTAGCCAGGGAACTGACTGAAAGGCGGCCTAGAGCCCAGCAAGTAGCACTGTTCCCTCTTGGACCCCTCCCCAATATACAACATCACAAATAAGTGATGTGGGTTGCCCTGCCATGGTGAACACTTAAGGCTCCACCCCTTACTATGTAATAGGTGCAGCAAGATGAAAAATTGTCCCAAATGAAAGAACAGATCAAAGCTCCAGAAAAAATACAACTAAGCGATGAAGAGGTAGCCAACCTATCAGACGCATAGTTCAAAACACTGGTCATCAGGATGCACACAGAATAGGTTGAGTTTGGTTGCAAAATAGAGGAAAAAGTGAAAGCTATAAAAAGTGAAATAAAGGAAAATGTACAGGGGACCAAGAGTGATGGGAAAGAAACTGGAACTGAAATCAACAATTTGGACCAGAAAGAAGAAAGAAATATTCAATGAGAACAGAATGAAGAAACAAGAATTCAAAACAATGAGGAGAGGCTTAGGAACCTCCAGGACATCTTTAAACATTCCAACATCTGAACCTAGGAGTGCCAGAAGGAGAAGAGAAAGAGCAAGAAATGGAAAACTTATT